TAAATAACTATTTTCAAAACATACATACATTTGTTACACATGTATATATATGAAAGGTTTTATCTAAACGCAGGTATATGTATAAATATATATATATATATATATATATATATATATATATATATCGATTGATATCCACGTTTTTGTATAACTATATTATATGTAACAATTTGTATGTATATATGTGCACCTTCGCATGTTTGTGACTAGGAAAGATCCTTAATTGAATATTCAATACTCTATTGTCTATAAATATATGAGATCCCGTATCAAGGGTATTTAGATACTGTAGCAAGAGCATAGTATAAATTTGTTCAAACAACATACCTGACTGAGAGTCTGTGTCGGCTGAGTCTGCTGATCTTGCGTCAGTTGTGACTGCGTTTGTGAACCATACTGCGACTGGGACTGGTTCTGTGTCTGACTTTGTGTTTGCGTGTTGTATTGTGCCTGGGTCTGTGTCTGCGCTTGTGTCTGCGTCTGTGTTTGGGTCTGTGTTTGGGTTTGAGACGGCAATGTAAAGTCGTTGTATCCGTACTGTGTGCCTTGAGTGTCCGCCCCGTACTCGTCCGGGTCGACGAATGTGAGACCCGACATGTCGAAGCTCAGTCCGAATTTGATTGCCTAAATCTACTAGTAATAGATGTTGCACTTAACTATTACTGCCACGTCAAGCAACTGCAAGTAAAATCCACAGTACAGAGAGTCAGAAATAAATTAAATATTGTCGTATCTATGCACAATATTTGATATTTTCGTACAGCGAGTGTAGAGTCTTTTAGGGGGTGTCATCATGTGGCAGCAATCTGCCGTCCTTTCTCAGAGGCTCACAGCCTCTCGTCAGTGTATGATGATGAATAAAAATATTAAAATTATTAGAATTTCTTCATACACTCATCGTCTCATCGAGAGTCCATCAGACAACCACACAAAAAACGAAAAGCGAGAGTTGCGACTTGCGATTTGCGAGAGAGAGGAAACACAATTTTGAAGAAGTGAATGAGTCATCCCCTCAGTTTACGACAAGACATTTTTCTATAGCTGTTGTATATTCTCTGGTTGTCGTTTATTGATAAAGATCTATTTGCACGTATCTCGGCTTGAGATCTGTCAGTGAATCTGAGGTATTTCTTCTGAATAGTTCTTCACTTTTCTGAAATAAAGGACCGCCAAAACTCGGAATAGAACGCAGCGGTCATTCCGGTATAAGCTGCATGCGCGCGCTTTTTAAGCCAATCGGATACAAGAACGTAATCCTGTGGCTGACCTGTATGTACGTGTCGAGTAGAGAAGCTTTCACAAGTTAATATTGTTATTTATGTTGGGTGACACGATAGATACATACTCAGGTAGTGTTTGTGCACACGTACCGCTTACATGTGTTGCTAAGCACGTCACACACTTAAGATACTTATGAAATACAATGAATTTTTTTAGTTGACTAGAAAAATACCTTCAGCTACCTGGCACAAATAGCTTGTTGTTGTTTGTAGCCTAGCTTTCTAGCTGAGATCGCGTGCGACCAACCGATAAACCGATTCTTCATGCCAAAATCAGACACCAAGCTCGCACAAGTGGTTATGCTCCAAATTTGTCATTGTAAACAGAAGATATGAAAGCCCAAACATTGGAAATTTTGTGGCACGGGAAGGAGCCGGTTCTAAGTGTGGATCAGTATGGAGACCGACTGGCAACTGGAGGTGCCGATAGCGACGTCAAGGTACTCGTATTTCACTTGTACACTTAAAGTAAGACCCTCCTTGATAGAAGCATAACAATTTATGAGCTATGGGCATAAGTAGTAGTTAACACCATCAGAATATTTTCCTATAAATCAGGCCGCCAGCGTATATATATATATGCCTGTGTGTGTGTGTGTGTGTGTGTGTGTGTGTGTGTGTGTGTGTTGTG